ATAGCACGGCCCCCACCGCGGAGAATGATCTGGCCCAAAAGGCAGTCCTGGCAGTCTGAGAAACCCTGCCCCAGAGGCAAGGCGGGCGCGAGGCGAGGCTCCCCGGGCCTCATCACACCCACCCGTCCGAGCTTCCTGAGCCCAGGAAGGCGACTTCTTCCCTAGGGAACAAGCCCCCGCGTCGCGCTGGGCCCAAAGATACAGGCATGAACGTTGTACCTCACAGATGCCGGGCTGGGTGATGGGCTCGCAGTCAGGGAGGGGACGGAGAAAAGGTCCCCAGCGGGGGAGGCTGAGTGGAACGCCCGGATCTTGGCTGGGCCCTGAAGGCGGGGAAGGGGCAGGACCCGCCGGCCCCAGACGGGCGGGCTGTCCGCCCAGCCGACGACACCGGTGGAGACAGCGGGTCCGGGCCTGCTGCCCCCGCGGCGGCGATCGCGTTGCAGGGGTGTCGGGGCGGGGCTGCGGGTGGGAAACCGGAGGCGCCCCGGGTTGGCTGGGGGCAGGGGGCGGGCCCACACGGAGAGTGACGTCGGCCCGCCCGAGGCTCGTCCCCACCCCCTCCGCCCGCCGCCCCAGGTGCGTTGGAGACAGCAGGGCGTCTGCGGAATTCGGGGGCCCGCCTCCCTGCGCCGCCCCCCGCACCTCCCCCAGGGGACAGGGCCGGAGAGGCGGGGCAAGGGGGCAGAGAGCCGGCTGGAATTCCAGGGGCGCCCTCCAGCAGCGCCCCCGCCCCCCGCACCCAGGGCCTCCGCTCCAGGCAGGGCCAGGCGTGGTCGCCCTGAATCCGAACAGTCCTCCAGACCTTGAGGCCTTCCCTGGTGGCTCAGACGGCAAAGCGGCGGCCTGCAATGCGGGAGACCCGGGTTCGATCCCTGGGTCGGGAAGGTCCCCTGGAGGAGGGCATGGCATCCCGGTCCAGTGCTCTTGCCTGAGAATCCCCATGGACAGAGGAGCCTGGCGGGCCGCAGCCCACGGGGGTCGCAGAGGTGGATACGACGGAGTGACTTCGGTTTCAGTTTCCAGACTTGGGTCGGGGCCCCAGGGCTCCCCTTCAGCGCAGCCTGTGGTTTCGGGGTCCTCTTATTCAACAGCTGGGGTCCCCTCAGCCAGGGCTTAGGCAGAGCTGGAGACTCGGGGTCTATTTTACAAATGAGGGGAACCAACCAGGGTCAGGGGAGCTGCCCGAGGTTGGGGAGCTAGGAAGAACCCATCCCACCCCAGGAGGAGCCTCGTTGACCGCAGAGGCGCCGACTTGGGGGGCTGGCAAGAGGGTGCTGCTTGGTGGAAGTGTAATCTCCCCGCCTAAGGCCAGCATGGAGCCAGGATGGAAGCACAGTCCCCGCGCCCACTCCAGCCCCTGGGTCTGACCTGGGAACAGAGGAGTGAGGCTGTGAGCCCCCAACGGGCAGGGACCAGATCTTTCGAGGTCCTCAGGAGCTTAATAAGCATTTGCTTACGGACTGAAAGCTGTTCAGTCCTAGTTCTTCAGTCTGGCTTCTTGACTTCCTGTGCCCAGGAGACCCTCTTAACACCGTGGTTGCCAACCCTGCCAGTCAGGGCCCTGCCCAGGTCTGGCTCTGTCCACTCTCAGCAGCCTGCTGTCCCACCCCCTGGGCACCAATGAGGGACGGCAGAGGAAATACGTGGCACCTCCTGAGGGTAGAAGACGGCAAAATCTGGCCTAGAGAGCGGCCTGTCTGGGCAGGGAACACTAGACCAGCGTACATGGCCATGACTTCCATGGAGTGACCTTGAGGAGCTCAACACTGAATATGAACTCAGAGTTTACGCTTCCATTTTACAGATGAGGAGACCGAGGGAGGGTCAGGAGAGCTGCAGCATCACACAGTGAGCAAGATCCCGGATCTGAACCCATGGCCGTCTGATTCCTGGGACGCTTCTCTCCTCTGCAGTCGTCTCCTGCTAGAAGTGAGCAACTGGCCCCTGGCCCCCACCCCTTCCCGGAGGGTACCAATGCCCCTATCTGTCACCCACATCCCAGAGGGACCCACCACCCCAGCCTCTGCCCATCAGCCGCCTTCCCTCAAGGAGACCAAGGTCAGAGCCCCTCCCTGAGCCTGGGGAGGATGAGGTCAGAGCATTACCGGCCTGATGCAGGTGCTAAATAATTCATGCACTGCTGTGAGCGGGGGCTGCAGCTTCCGCGAGGGCCCAGAGTGCAGACGGCAGGCAGGAAACAAAGTCTGGTCACTCTTATCTGTGGCTGAGCATCCGGGTCCCCCTGGGGCTGAAAGTGCTAGGCTGGGTGAGAATGGGTTGGAGGGCTAATGGACCCTTACTGGCCGCGTGACCACGGGCGAGTCACTTAACCTGTGCCTTGCTCGTACAGAAACTGTGAGGTGCCCTGAAAGAGTTTGGGGACCACATGTGTAACTGCGGGCAGTCGTGTTTGGCAGGTCCTCCTGGCTCAGGGGAGGTTTTTTTTTTTTTTTCCATTTATTTTTATTAGTTGGAGGCTAATTATTTTACAACATTGCAGTGGTTTTTGTCATACATTGAAATGAATTAGCCATGGATTTACATGTATTCCCCATCCCGGTCCCCCCTCCCACCTCCCTCTCCACCCGATCCCTCTGGGTCTTCCCAGTGCACCAGGCCCGAGCACTTGTCTCATGCACCCAACCTGGGCTGGTGATCTGTTTCACCCTAGATAATATACGTGTTTCGATGCTGTTCTCTTGAAACATCCCACCCTCGCCTTCTCCCAGAGTCCACAAGTCTGTTCTATACATCTGATTCTTTTTCTGTTTTGCATATAGGGTTATCAGGGGAGGTTTTGATCATCCCCGGCTCCAGCTTGTTTTTCCATGAGCCCAGAATTTCACCCAGTGCTGCCCCCTCCCCGCAGCTCACCAAGCAGTAGCAGGAATTAAGACAAGGGTGGGTCCCCTCTCTTGCCCTATCCTTGCATCGCCAGGCCTTGCTTGTTGTGTTTAGGGGGAGAACAGGAGAGCGAGGAGACAGTGATCTCGGGCCTGGCTGGTTTGGGAGGCCCGGTCTCTCCTTAGAATAAATCCCCAACCAAGAAAAAAATTCAGTTAGAATCAAGCTGTCTTTGTTAGTCTAGAAGGCAAGGAGTCGAATTCAAAATATTAACAAATCCCAGAAAAATTATTTTGGGGGGGCCCGCCTTGAGGCATGTGGGATCCTAGTTCCCTGACTGAGTTTGAACCCACGCCCCCTGCAATGCGAGCACAGAGTCCTAACCACTGAACTGCCAGGGAAGTCCCAGAAAAATTCTTAATGAACATTCAGGGATTCTGCAGTATTGGGCTTCCCTGGTAGCTCACCTGGTAAAGAATCCGCCTGCAATGCAGAAGACCTGGGTTCGGTCCCCAAACGGAGAATAAATTCATTTAATCCTGAACAGTGATGAAGCCATAACTGCTACACACGGTTTGACAGAGATGGGTGTGCAATTTACATAGGTGTCCCCTGCACCTGGTTTGGGCCGATGCTGGTTTTTTCCATTGGAGGTTTGTGTGTGATGCAGCTGGATCACCTGGCCCAAGACTGGAAGAAGCAGGGCCAAGGGGTATTCTCGAATCCAGGCAGGTCTGAACATCAGGAGCCCACCCTGCTCGAGCCTCACCCGCCGCCAGCCCCCAGGGGACTCAGACTCTGAACAAACCCACATTCACCGCCCTCGGCTCCCCATGGTCGCTTAGCACTGCCAGGACTCACACACAGGACTATCAGCTCGAAATGCAAGACAGAGCCTTTATTCATAGCGAGCGGTTTTGGGGCCACTAACCTAAATTGCGAGGAGTTAGGTGCACAGAGCTCCCCTCTTCCTTTTCATCAGAGTAAGTTATACTCCCTTCGTGGAACCGGAAAGCCCAGTGCAAGGATCAGTGGATGGCGAGGGGGTTGTCACACTTGGGGTACAGACCCGCTCTCTGCAGGGTATGTTCACCCAACTTAGCCCTGGAGAAACACCCCAGTGACTAAAGCAGAGATGCTGGGGGCAGGAGGGTGGCACCGGGGGGCTGTGGGACTGCCCTCGGAGTCAGCACCTGCCTCGGGCTCACCCTCCATCTCCGCACACAGAGGTGAGCTCCCACACCTGGCATGGGCTCCTTGGATGAGCCAGGGGCAGTACCCAAGGGCAGGAGGAAACCATGGAGATGACACGACAGAGATCTCCTTCCCCCGAGTCTGAAGCTGTGTGCACATCCTTGTCAGTGGTGCCAGCCCCTTTCAGGTCCCAAGGATGCTCTCGCTCCCCTTGGTGAAGACGGTAGCACCAGCCCTTCCAGGTGCCCAAGGTGAGGTAGACACCCTGCCATCTGCTCATCAGGAAGTGGCACAATCTTCGGTCGTGGATGTCACTTATCTAAGGGACTGTCCCAAGTCCCACAAGTCTGAGTCCTGGGAGAGGCCTGGGCCCCCAGTTCATCCCTGAGAATGCAGCCCCACCCCCACCTTGCGTCTTGACGGGACCCAGTTCGTGGAAGATATGGGGTGGTGATGCTGAGGGGCTCAGAGGCCATTTAGAGGCACAGTGTGTCCAGGCCTTGAGGGAGCTGTGCCCAGCTCAGCGGCCTTCCACGGGCCAGGAGGTGGCAGGAGGTTCTGGTGAGAAGGGCCAGGGCCAGCTTCACCATAGTTTGGCTTCACCTTGGAGCAGAGTGGGATGGACACAGAAGGGTGGCCCTGCAGGATGGTCATCTGGAGAGCCGTAGCAGGGGAAAGCAGGAGCAGTGTGTGGGGGGAGGGCGTCCAGAGGCAGGCTGGGTGTCTGCAGACTGCTCCTGCAGTCTCAAGTCCCTCGGGGACCAGACCAGGAGAGGCCGGAATTGGGGTGGGGGGGTGCCCTGAGCCCCAGCCACATCCTCAGAGTTTCACACGGCCCCCGACTCCACCACTCCAGATGGGTGACCTCAGGGCCCTCCCAGCTCCAAAGAGAAAGGCCCTGCCCAGCCCACACAGGGAAGAGGACCTCTGAACGTCGTGTGGTCCAGGGAAGAGGGCGTCTACCATCTCGTGCTATTTTGCAGGGACTGAGCCTAAAATGACCAGAAAGAACACGTGTTTGAACAACTAAAGAAAGAACAACAACAAAAAAAGTGCGTCCCCAGGGGGATGGTATAATCTGACATTGAAGGAGAAGTCTGATTTATTTTTTCTTCTGGAAACCTTTCTCCCCCTTCCAACAGAAACGTTTTTTTCCCTACAGTCGGTGTCAGAAAATAGCTTCTGGGGAGTTGGGGAGAAATATTCCCAAGCCTGGGAGGGGTTCACTTAGCAGACCCCTTGCAAAGCCTTGAACTGGTGTCCAAGAGTCAGGGCACCGCTGTTTGTCTGAACCCAGGCTACTGGGACCCGCTAAAAGTCCTGAGAGCTGAAGGCATGGCCGCTTCTAGAGGCTCTGCGGTCTCTCTGGGCCAGTCTGCTTACCTGTCGGGGGGAGGGGGCGGGAGAGCTACGTTGGTCACTCAGGCCCAAGACCCTGCGTAACCGTAAAACAGTCTGGTTCTGGGATTTGACTCTGGAAAAGGGAAAGTGCCATCCTACCCATCTCTCAGGGTCAGCTCCAAGGATTAAAACGCGTTGCTGTGGACAGGCTTTACCGTAAAGGACTGAGCAAATGGGGATTTAAATTCCCGCCCAGGAGTGAAACCAACCAGAACCTGGCCCGACCCCTCCACCTTCCTAAACAAGGGCTGGTCCTCTCTGAGTCACTCCCCAGCACACACACGTGACCTGAGAGATGGAGCAGTGGTTCTCCACCGTATCCCCTGACAGCTTCACCACTGTTTCCACGAAGAAGGGCTGAAGCCGCCCGTCTTCCCCTACACATAACACTCCATAGAACCGCCTGCTGCTGGGCCGGCCTTCCCTGCCCTCCATCCCAGTAGACGGGGTCCAGAGGAAAGCGGCCTGGTTTCAGACAAGCCCAGATGCCGCATGAGACCCGAGACGGGAGCCGGGCTGAGAGCCATCCTGCTCACACAGGACACGGACCCAGGCTCAGCTGAAGATCCGTTCCCTGGAGGGAGGCGTCAGCCCCTTCACCCCTCGACAGGAGAGATGGGCAGTGGCTTTCCTGGGACCTGGACTCAGAGGGAGGAGGAGAAAGAGGGGACACCCACAGGCCAGGGCAGAGGAGCGGGGCATCCGAGACCGAGAGCCCAGATCAGACACGACATTCCCGGAAGGGATAACAAAGCAGAAACGTGTTTATTAGGCATCCGTGCTCCTCACAGAGGAACACGGCGCAGGGCAGAAGCGCCTGCGACATCTCTCGAGGTGGCAGGAACCTCTCTGAAGACTCCAGAGAACGTAGGTGCTGGCCGGCCGCCACCCCAAGAAGAACAACACTATTTGGCTGGAGCGCGGCCACCGGAGGTGACCCTGGCAGGAAGCTGGAGCTGGCTCCCGGGCTCCGCAAACACTGAGCAGCCGGCGGGGGCGCCAGGACGCCCGTGCGAACACGGGCAGACGGGGAGGGTCTCCCGGCTGAGACCCACGCCCCGCCCTGGGCCAGCAAGGAGGGAGGGGGTGGGGAGAGCGCGGGCTCCGGGGGGCGGTAGGGGCCAGGCCCTCCCATCTGCCCGCCTCTTCCGGGGGCCGGCTCAGTCCCACACGTAGGGGTTTCTAAACACCTGAGAGTTTTTGCCTTCCTTGGGCAGCGTGGCCTCCTGGCGGCTCTGGGCCGCGTAGATGTCCTCGGCCCGCAGGGTGGAGTTGGCACTGCCCGTCACCTGGCTGTTGGCGGTGGCCCGCGGGAGGATGACGTCGTACGCTCCATCGGACTGCAAGGAAGAACAGGCGGGCTCGCAGCCGGGTTCCGCCGGGGCGGATGCGCAGTCTGCTTCCTGCGGGGCTGTGCCTGCCAGCTCCCCCGCCCCTCCCCATCACCGCCCGCCCCCACCCCCAGCCGGGCCAGGGATGGTGACTTTTAAGTCTGGAGCCGGAGGAGCTGCCCTCTGACCCCCAGCCCCTTATCTCACCCTGCAGAGGGCCGCGCCACGCCTCTGGGCGTGGAAATGAGGTCCGGGGGCTCCGCTCAGGGGGGAGGCTCCTCCTCTCAAGCCCCATCACACTCCCTAGACCGCGGGGCCCAAAGGAGGGTGGGCCAGGCTGAGCTCCTGTGACCCGTCCGGCTCTGCTCCCAGGCTCCCTTCCTCTGGGGGTCTTTCCCGAGCCCCACCAATGAGGCCACATCCCCCACGGCATCGCAGCTGATGTGCAGGGCCCAGGACGCTCTCCTGTCTGGCCCCAGGTGTCACGTGTTTAGCAGTCTAATTTAGAGACTTAGAACCTGGATGATTTGGGGCTGGAGAATTTTAAGTTTTGGAGACTTAAAAACCCAAATTCGTGGCCTGGATCCTGGTCAGAGCTGCAGTGGTTCTGGGTGGGTGTTCCTGGGTGGGTGAGGCTGAGGCTTTGGTCCTGGGGCCCACCCTGCGGGCAACTTGAGCCCCACCAGCCACATCCCCAGGCAGAGAGCTGCCACCAGAGCCCTGTACTCTGAGGCCAGGAGCTCTTCCATGTACTTGAACCTGGGGTGTGGGGTGGGTCATCCCACCCGTTTACCGTCTGCCCCCCCCCCTCCCTTGTAGCTCCTGGAATAGAGAATCGAGACCCTCGGTTCTCAAGCCTGGCTGTGGGTCACAATCACCTGGACTGCTGAGCCCCACCCGGAGGTGAGCTGGTGACTGTTCAATGACCCTATCTGTGACGTCAGCAGATTTCCATGGTCGGTCACTCCCATTGTGACTTGGATAACTCCATGTAATCAAGGTGACGTCACCGAAGCGATGCTAACCATTGGCTCCATCACACCACCGGCCCTTGTATTTTTAGTAAGTTCCAGGTGCAGTACAGAGGAGCCTGGTGGGTTACAGTTCATTGGGTCGCAGAGTGGGACCCAGCTGAGCACACACACAGGTGATGGGAGTGGTGGGGGCTGAGGGACCATGGTTTTGGAGTCACTATTAGATAAAACATCTGTTCGTCCAGAGCCTTCCTGAAGGAGCGGTGCTCAATGCACACGGGTAGAGTGGGGCGGCCAGGCGGGGGACCCTGGGCGGCTGGGGGCTGGCAGACCCTGCTCCCACCCTTCCGAGATTCCTCTGCCCTCCCAGCTCCTGGCCACAGCCCGCTCTTGCAGGCCACAGGTTCAGGCCCGGGGAGAGCCCGGGACTGGAAGTGTGGGGTGCACTGGCTTCACCCAGCCCCCAGGGCGCCAGGCGGGGAGAGGATGAGAACGCCACCCCACTGACCTCCCTGCTTCCTGTTCCCAGCCTCCTGCCAAGGGGGGGTCACTGACCTCTGCGCACAGTGACTGCCAGCCAGCCGGGAGGAGGAACACAAACGGAGTGAGTAAGACTCTAACCCACCGGCTTCCTGTTCCCACCCCCCTCCCTTGGCTAACGGAGCATCTGGTTTCCAGAACCCAGGGGAGGTGTGAAGCTGAGAGTGGCTGCCTGCTGGCGGGGGGAGGGGAGCTGGGGGCCCTCCAGGGACAGCTGTGGTTGCGGAGTCAGGATCTACCCAGACCCGCTCTGTGCGCCTCTGTCCACCAGGAACGCAGATACCTGGCTGAGGCCCCCTTGTCCCTGCGTGGGGGACAGCTAGCGGCTCCCACCAGCATGAAGAGAGACCGCTCTGAGCATCTGGCCTCAGGGGGTTGTGTGATACCCTGATGACGCGGGCAGGCAGGCCCTGCCTCAGTGTTGCTAAAGGCAGTGGGATTGTCACTCCCAGGAAAACGGCTTCGGGGGCCCTGGGTTCCCCAAGGCTGACCCATCGGACGCAGAGCCAGCCTTCTCCCCACCACCTCCACCCACCCTGCCAGCACTGGCCTCCCGGCTCCAGCAGGGTCACGGGGACGCGGGGACGCCACTCACCGGGGCTTTGTGCATCAGCGTCATCTCAGTGGGCTGGTACATACTGGTCAGCAGCTGCCCGTTGTACCCGCTGTATGGTGACACCGGTCTCTTAGCTGCAAGGAGACAGAGGTGCTGTTTCAGGGCTGGGCTCTCAGCTCTCTTTCCAGCTCTCAAGGGAGGCTCCCCAGGGAGCAGGAAGAGGGACAACGGGGCTGGGCCAGCCCTGGGGGTGAGGCCATAGGTGTGGGCGCCCCCACCCCGCCACTGGAGCCCAGCATCCCTTTGTTTGGATGCACAGAGATCATGATGTTTGCCTTCCCCTCGGGTTTTCCTGTAGCGTGAGACCCCTTCCTACCGAAAAACGCTCCGTCAGCAACCTTCACATCCCCGTCTGCCCTCCGGGGCCAGAGGCCAAGACGGGCACATGGACCTTCGGCGGCCTTCCAAGATGGCCAGCCTCCAGCTCTGGCCTCTCCCGCTGCGGGCCAGCTGCCAGGCGCCGGGGTAAATACAGCAGGGACCCCACCGCCCGAGAGTCTCCATGGGGCAGAGCTGGGTGCTAACCGCCTAGGACCCAGAGCCACTGCCTGCCCCCCCACCCCCCAGGGGACTGAAGGCGCATCCAGCCCTGTGGCCCCTTGGCAAGTTTCCAGAACTATTTTCAGCCTCAGAAACACTCCCCTGTGCCATCGAGGCTGTCGATTTCCCGATCTGTCCTGTCCTGGGTGCTGCGGCTGAGGAAAACTGCTGACCATTCCTGGGGTCCGGGGAGCGGGCTGAGCCCTGAGGGCCGGGCCAGCGGATGCCAGTCTCCGGCCAGCTGATGGTCCCTTGGCTTGTAGGGACCACAGTTCTATAGGGCCTCCTAAGTGCCGGGCTCACTCAATTGATTTTTCCATTTAGAAAAAAAAAAACAAAAATAAAAGGAAAAAAACCTCTCACAGCCCCAGAAGTGTTTACCTTGAGGACAAAGGCTGAGAACCCTGGGCCTGACAGGCAGTGGGTGGGAGGCGAGGTGGGGGCGGCCAAGGCTCCTCCCAATACTCGTCCATGAGCCTCACCCACCACCCCAGGCTGTACATGTGCCAGGGCCACCCCTGGGCGGGCAGGTCAAAGATCAGCGCTTGGCAGGGTGAGGATCTAGCCTTTCCCCAAAGCTGGGATCACAGGGACCTCAGCTTGCAGAGAAAAGGCAGCGGGCTCTGACTCTGCAACCTCCCTGGCCTCTGACCCCTGGCAGAAGCCCCAGAGCTGGTCGGTGCTCCAATCAGGCAGGTCAAGTCTGAAGCCCCCAAACACCTCGATCAGCACAGGCCAGGGTCAGAGTCCAGGCTTTCCGGGTCACAGCGGATGAAGGGGCTGCAGCCAGTCGGCTAAGAAAGCACACGAGACACAGGCTACAGGGCGCGTCCGTAAAGGCTCAGCCCCTGGTGCTCCGTTGGTGCTCAGTAAACGCTAGTGGTCCTGATGGTGAACCGCAGAAGGCTCCTTCTGCGGGCGGGGAGCGTGTCTGGACACGTCTCTCGGAGAACGGCCACCCACTGTTCCTGCCTCCCAGGCTGCTCCTGAGGGGGGCCTGGCCACAGGCTGCGGGGGCTTCTCTCCCCCACTTCCACCTCCGGGGCACCCTTAACTCCAAAACCCAAAGCTCTGTTCCTGCCTGGCACCCCGAGTGCTGGTTCTGAAGGAGAACCCCATCCCATTAACAAAGAGCCGGGGCAGGAGCTTGGGGACAAGCCAGTGATTGAATAGTGGGTGCTGCTTAGGTCAGCATGTGGCACACACACTTTCATGAAAAAGGGGAAATTTTTAACTGAAAAAGCTTTTAAAGGAAGCTAAGGCTATGGATATGTGTGTAATAGAAGAACAAGCTCTGGATGGATAATAATAACAGAAAAATAATAGTAATACACAAATTTGATAGAGCTAATACCAAACTGATGGCTAATACTTCTGGAGTATTTTCCAAGGGCCAGGAAGATGTAGTAGTTGGGGAATTCCCTGGAGTTCCAGTGGTTAGAACTTTGTGTTTTCACTGCACGGGGCAAGGGTTCGATGCCTGGTTGGGGAATTAAGATCTCCCATGCCACGAAGCATGGCTCAAAAAAAAAAAAGATGCATTAACTGAATCCTCAAAAGAATCCTATGAAACAGGAAGCATTATTATCCCCATTTTACAGATGAGGAAACTGAGGCACCTAGTGGGAAAATATCAGTCAACAGTGATCAGTCCTGTAGACAGAAGAGGAAGGAACAGGGTAGAATTAGGGAGACAGTGGAGGGTAATTTTATCTCTAATGTGTCAGATTTTACAATGAAAATACACTGATGAATTGCATGAGTATAGAGAAAAAAATCTTAAAAAAAAATGGAATTTAGGAACTTGGTGGCAGAGAACTCTGGATATTCTCAGGCACCTCCCATTTTGCTCAGGAGACTAGTCCCCGGTCCTGCAATAAGTCACCTGGAATGAAAGAGGACCTGGCAGGGATTCCCCGGCAGTCCAGTGGTTAGGACTTGGCGCTTTCACTACCATGGCCTGGGGTTCAATCCCTGGTTGGGGAACTAAGATCCCACAAGCCACATGGCATGGCCAAATAATAATGAAAACAATAGACATGGTTGAGTCCATTTGCTTCACCTGAAACCATTAATATCACAACACTGTTAATCAAATATCCCCCAATATAAAATAAAAAGTTTCAAAAAATTTTTTTTTTAGAAATAAAGGGAACCTTCCTGGAGAAGGAAATGGCAACCCACTCCCATATTCTTGCCTGGGAAATCCCACGGACAGAGGAGCCTGGCGGGCTACGGTCCATAATGTCACAAGAGTCAAATACAACTGAGTGACTAAGGCATCACCAAGATGGGACCCGAGGAGGGTGTCCCGTGACCCACCTGAAGCTGGCTCGTCCATGGAAAAGGCCTTGTTTTCCACAAACATGCTCTGGCCCTTCTGCTCTTTCAGAATGGTCTCGTAGCCCACGCCTCGGGTGGGGTACAGATCCCCCTGGTAGCTCTGCTCTGGGCTGGACCTGGTCACCTGGGAGACCTCAGGGATGACGTAGAAGAGGACAAAGGCCCAGGCGTTCACGGCGAGGGCGATGGCCAGCGTGGGGTCATCCCATGTGGGGCTGTTGTGCTGCCGGTTGCCGTAGGTGTACATGACGACCCACACCACCCAGACGGCGATGGAGGTGGTAGTGGTGAGCAGCACGAAGACCCCGTGCTTCCGCCAGCGCTTGAAGCGGCCGCACAGGGTTGACCAGGCCCCCGTGAAGGCGCAGAGCAGCAGCAGCATCACGTAGATGAGCGCCATGACAAAGTCTGCATTGGCGATGGCGCAGGGGGAGACGGCCACCCAGCCCGCACTGCCGTTGCCCGGGGCATCACCCTCGGTGCTGGCTCCCCGCACCAGCGTGATGATTAGCCACTCCGTGTTGATGATCACCTCCACGAGGCTCAGCAGCAGGGCCACCAGGAAGATCACCCAGCCCCGCGGCCCGTGGTTCTTCCGGACCAGGAAGTGGAGGGCCAAGACGTGGGCCACCAGGCAGGAGAAGCAGATGGCGAACAGGACCCCGAAGAGGAAGCGCCGGGAGGCACAGGTGGAGAAGTCGGGCTTCACCACGCAGGCGAAGACAAGGCAGAAGAGACCCAGGGTCCCCAGCAGGAAGAACACCTGGGTTCCCAGCAGGCTCCGCTTCTTGGTGTCCTGCACGAACGGGAGGCTGGCCACGAGGATGATGGTGAGGACGAAGGTGGTAACGACACCCGCCCCCGCCACAGCTTCCAGGATGATGCCCCAAGCCTCAGAGCGGTCACACAGGTTGTAATAGAGGGGGTTGAGGTCGGGGCTGCACCCGGGTGGGGCCTGCTCCTGGGCCCGGGCCCCTGGGAGCAGGAAGAGAGGCAGTCCCAGACACGTCAGCACTGCTCTGTGGATGGCCATCCTGGATGCCAGGCCAGGCTCCAGCTGGGTCCCTAGAGGCGGAGGGGAGAAAAGGCAAAATTAGTCCCTTGGGCCAGACCCCGACACACAGGGTGCTGCTCCCCCGCAGTCCTGGACCAGGGCGCACTGATCTTGGGCCTGTCGCTCTGAGCTGCCGAATCCTTTTTTCCTCCCTGTTTTATGGCCGTGCCAAGCGCCATGTGAAATCTTAGCTCCCTGGCTAAGGATTGAACTCATGCCCCCTGCAGTGGAAGTGTGGAGTGTTACCACTGGACCACTGGGCAACTTCCCGGAATCCTTCTTTATTTTATTCTTGTTTATTTATGTACATATTCATTTGAATGCACCAGTTGGGGCATGCGGGGGTCTTCGATCTTCATTGTGGCACGGGAGCTCTTAATTGCAGCGTGTGGGATCTAGTTCCCGGATGAGGGATCAAACCTGGGCTCCCTGCATTGGGAGCATAGAATCTTAGCCACTGGACCTCCAAGAAGTTCCCAGAATCCTTCTCAACACACAACTCCTGGGACTCATGTCAACTAACCAGAGAGACAAATGAGATGAAGCCCAGCTGTCATTCCTCTTCCCAGGCATGGAAGAGGAGGAAACTGTACTAAATTTTCACCTCGCTCCACCAATTGTAACCTGGACCCAAATATTCCCTAAGCTCTTGCAGCTAGGATGGGGGAGAAATTTACGAGCATATTCGCTAAGCACTCAGCTCGTCTCTGCCCCGGGACTTCCAGAGTTCAGATGGCCAGCCACTTGGCCCTCCACCCTGTCCCTGTGATACCCAAGTCCACAGAGAAGCAGCCGTGCATTCATTCATTCAGTGAGTATTTAACACGCTGAATATTTAACAAGCTCCAGGAACAGGTACAAACTGCTACCAGAAAGTGAAGAGATGACTGAAAGATTGTATGTATCAACACTTTGCCCCGATGTCTTCCTACCACTGACCCTTTTTGCCCTTCATTTTCCCACTTTTAGTCCCAACGCTTCTCTTCAACACTTCTCTTTGGAATCCAAGTTCCTTGGAAGCTCAAGTTGTTAAAGAGTCTCAAGGATAAAATTTAACAAATTTCCCAGTTAGGGAGTTAATGACTTAACGCAAAAATCCTCCTATGAGGCATTCACATTTTAAAAGCAAGAACAACGCAAGGGCAAAGCAAAACCCAAAGGAATTAATCTGTAATGATAGACATCAAGACCCCGTAGCTAGAAGGCAAGAAGGCTGTCTTTTATTTGCACTGTGCTCAAGTAAATGGTTGGTAAACCTGCCGCTTCCTCTCTCACCTCTTGGACCCAGGAACTTTCCAGGACAGCAACCAAGCTTTCCTGGGCTACAGTGACTACTAGTGGCTGGGAGGGGAATGGCAGGATCCTACTCACTACCTTTCTTCTGCTTTGAAGGTGGAGGGTAGATTTGTCCATCAGTAACCCTTTGGAGTTTTCCTGGTGGCTCAGACGGTAAAGAATCTGCCTGCAATGCAGGAGACCTGGGTTCGAACCCTGGGTTGGGAAGATCCCCGAGAGAAGGGAATGGCTACCCAATCCAGTATTCTTGCCTGGAGAATTCCATGGACAGAGGAGCCTGGCAGGTTATAGTCCACAAGTTTGCAAAGAATTGGACACGGCTGAGCAACTAACACACCACAACCCTTTGGAAAAGGAAATGGCAACCTGCTCCAGTGTTCTTGCCCGGGAAATCCCATGGACAGAGGAGCCTGGCAGGCTACAGTTCACGGGGTCACAAAGGAGTCGGACATGACTTATTGACTAAACAACAACAAAACTCTTTAATGTTTCCGCTGGTCCTGGCTGATTAATGTCTAACAGGCAAAGAAAACTGACTCTCCATAATTGATAAGGGGAAGGACACTGCTACTAAGTCAGGGAAAATAAAACTCACAAATTGAGACTAACATAATAAAAAGATCATCAACTTTCAGTGTCCTTTAAGATATCCTACATGCCCTTTGAAAATAGTTTAGGTCTCTCAGCATTCCTGGCTACCACCTCATCTGTCAATTAAAGCTTCCTTTTCCCCAAACAACGCTGACCATTAATTTTTAATAAATTAACAATCTTATGTGAATTTACCATATTTTCCTAAATAAATGGTACCATAACGCAGCTAGTTTCGCTCGACTTCAACACAAAAGCATGTTTTCCCTACATCACGACTTAAATAAGCTTTTGTAGGGGACTTTGCGTAATCGTAAATCAATAAGGCACACACTGTACTTTATTTACAATGACTAGGAAGAGAAAAAAGGAATCGGAGCGGGCTAATGGATAGGGTGTATTGAACCATTCCAGGAGATAATTGATGGATAACATGCTAAGGGATTCTAAGCACTCAGGCCCATCTTGGATGTTTCTGTCTCACAGCCAAGCAGCTAGAACTTGGGGCGAAGCTGTGGGACTGAACCCTGAGAACGGTCACTCAGACTTAGCCTCCAGCAATCTGTGCATCTTCGAGAACTGCTCATCCCACCTCCCTCCTCCAGGTTCCAGTTTACAACAATTATTCCAAATCAGCAATTCACTGTGCGTCTCGCGGGGACCAAGCCCAGTAGTTCTGAGACGCACAGTGAAAAATACAAAGATGAACACACACCCAATCCCTGCCATAATGTTATTTCAAATCGAAAAGAGAGAAAAGATAGGTCCATAAGAAAACCACCCAAGAAGAATCGGGTAAAGAGCCACACAAAAGAATCGACCTCTGGAGAGAGAAAAGTGGTACAGGAACACAGAGGAGGATCCAGGGTGGAGACGACCTCTCAACAGCACTTTATTCAGATTCTAATCAAATTCACCAATATGTACATATGAACCGAGCTTGTAAGAGGTTGCAGCTGGCTGGCGACAGATTAGAGACGCTCTAATTAGGAACAGGTTAGGAGTTTGGGGCATGACTCTAAAGGCAGTGGGGGCCACTGAAGGCTATTCTTTTGCACAGTGAGGGCATTACCAGCGTTGTGCTTTAAGATCTGAGTCTGGCAAAAAAGCATTGGCAATCCATTTGCTGAGGACACAGTCATCCCTAGTTAAAGACACAGGCCAAAGGTAAGGCCTAATGGAGGTTCTTATCCAAATAAAATCTAAGGCCTGGGGAGTTTGCTGGTGAGCCAGTGGTTCAGACTCCGCCTTGCAATGCAGGGGCGCAGGTTCGATCCCTGGTCAGGGAACTAAGATCCCATATGCCACAGAGCAATAGCCTGCACTCTGGTGCTCAGGCATCACCACTACTGAGCCCGTAAGCCATAAATGGAGAGTTGTGCACCGCAACAGAAGATCCCTCATGCAATTAAGACCCGATGCACCCACATAAATAAATAAAGATTTTTAAAAAATCTAAATCCTGGTTGGATTCGGGGGAAAGGATACTAAGCCCATGCTACAAGTTCAAATCTCCTAACGGTCATTTCATTACCAAAACCCAAGCCAGCTCCCATTTTGTCCTGGGACTCCTATGTCAACCCTTCTTCTCGGTCTGTCTTGCTCTTAGAGCCATACCTGCTGGTACCCCACCAGAATCCAGCACCTCCAAGGAACTTGGGCCAGGGCTAGAGCAGCTTCACAGCCCTCACCCCAGTTTCCTTCTCACTTCGTTGTTGGTCCCGATCTTATGCTTTAAGCCTGCTGGACCCAGCAACATGGGAACCTGGATGTGGGTGAGCGGGGAGAGAGGCTCGCACCAGCTCAGGTGGGAAGACTGGGCCAGCTGGGCCTGGCTCTTGTCCACTGCCTGGGACAGCGACCCCTGGAGGCCAGTGGGAGACTTCAGGAGCTCCGCCCAGGGTCCTTCAACATCCAGGAATGCAGATTCAGCCAGTCAAGGGATGCCATTTTTGAAGATAGTGGCCAGGGGGAAAGGATTTGGGTGAAATGAAGAACCAGCTCCGTCTCCAGACTCTCCACCCTGTGGGTCCCTAGAGCCTGCATTTCCAGCCCATCTTCTGAGCCTCAATGGTTAGAATCGTGTGTGCGGTGTCTCCTTCACCTGGCTTTAAGGTCTACAGAGTGAGCAAGATGTGTTTATCTTAGCATCTCCCGCAACATCGAATCTTGCACTGAACATAGGAGGCATTGGAAAATCGTTCACTGAACACGGTGGGTGCTCGTTTCTCCCTCGTCCCAGCCCTGCCTCCTCCTTTTAGAGTGACTGCCTCTGCTCTAAGGTTCTCGGTAGGACCAAGGAGGGGGACCCCCTTCCACCCCGTGAGTGCTCCCCAGACCATGGCTGCAGCCTAGTCACGCTGCAGATTATTTTCAGGACAAAGGAGCCCTTTTGCTTCACCTCCCTGGAATCAGTTATACAAATATTTTTAATCACCTCTGAAATCGGCCTTTCCCCAGGCTCACTCACTCTGCCCCCATCTCGGGTCTGAGTTGGCCCAGTCGGGTTCCAGAAACCCCTCCTCCCTCTTTCCCTCTGCAGAGTGGTGGGCTCCAAGGCCCAGCCAGCCCGAGTGGGCTTCACTGGGCGAGGATGAGGCAGCCAGCCACAGCAAGCCCGAGAAACATCCTGAAAAGAGGCACCGGAGCCTCTCACCTTGCCGACCTGGTCTGTCTCCCCCGCTCAAGGGGGCAGAGGAAGATACAGACCCACAGCCAGCGGTTACCTTCAAGAGTACCATGGCCAGGTAGAGGCCCCGCGCAGAGAGCCACTGAGCAGCCTCCTAACTCCTGCTCTGCCACCACTCAGCAGCCCACGAAGAGAGACGGATGGACCCGCTGACAGCCTCCCACCGCCTCCCCGCTCCAGGTTAGGTCCTGCCATCCTCCTCTGCTCTGGGGGCTCTGGCGTTTAAACCAACCAATCGGAGGAGGAGTCAGAGAGGCCTCTAAGGAGCTACCTCTGCGCCCAAGTTGCTGCGGGCAGTGAAGAGGGGGAGTTAGAGGGCTTCCGGGAACCCCAGCCTACACCCTCACACCCGAGGGTGAGCATCTGGCCCCCAACTGCCTGAGCGTTCAGAAACACGTGAGTC